TATTTCTAAAAAAATTTGTTATTTCACATAATATAACAGTTCATAAAGTAATAAACAAAATACCTGTAAAAGAAAGACAAGAAAATACAATAAAAAGCAAAAAAGAAAATGACGTCTTCTTAGGAAATACGTCATTATCTGAAAGCATAGCATTTTCTTGTAAAAAAATTGTAATTTTATCTTAAACGCTTAAGAAATATATTTATATCAAACCTCGTTGCATTGGATTCACAGTTATCAATTTTTGTCAGTAATCTTCGCTTTCGATGATATTGCTGCTCTGGATTAATTTAAACTTTTATAGCAGAAATAAATAAAGCACTTTCTAATAGTTTTAGCAGTACATTTCTTGATAATATTGTATGATATGCTAACCGCGAGAATTTAGTGAACACTCAACTGAGGACTGATATTACTTTTATGGTCTTTATGCCCTTTTGCAATCTTATTACAACCCGTACACACGAATTAAGGCCGGTATTATTCATTGTGTCTTAAAAAAACACTTTGAACTCGATTTCTGTTTATTATTATTGAAAAATGTTTATTTTTAACATATATCCTAATTAATAACACAATTTAAAAAAGTCAACTAAAGCAGATATTGGGCGGGGTGGAGAGCATCCTACGACATCCTTCCCTTTGGCTAGGGGTGTGATAATTTTTGTTTCATATTTTGTTGAGTACTATTTATATATTCGATTGAAATTGAAGTTTTACGATCAGTACATAGCAGTAAGGGTGCGATGAATGTACCGTGAAATCTACACGGATTTTCCTAATTTCCCAATATAAAATAATAAATAAATATTTTTCAAAAAATCTACGATTTTCATTTTTCAAATCCATTATAAAAAAGTCTATATGACGGAGAAGTTAATAAATTCCAGCAGCTGCAGCATTCAGAGCCGCTGCATGAGTAAAAGTCGAACTACTTGTGAGCAAAAGAAATTCTAACAAAGTACCCAGTTTATTTCAATTTAAAATGTATTAATATACTTAGAAACAAACGTAAAATTGATCATGTCCATTTGCAAAGGTTTCGCATAACTTCATTTAGACACATAATTCAGAATAGCAAGTGGAGTTTGAGTATTCATCTCAGGATTTATAAAGAATTGTAAAGATTTCAGTTCTTCAAATATCTCGGATCTTTAATATTTTTATTCTTCAAACCGTCACATCTGTTTTTCCTCAACCACCATCCAATCATTCCCAGGATTCCCAAAAGGAGGCTAAAGAGTGCCTTCCGCCTTACTCACAGCTTTGCACTAAAATATAGATACATTTTGATGATGTTACTTGATTACTGTGGAAAGCAAGCCATTCTGCTTTACATGTACTATTTTCAAAATTGAAAATAATAGGTTTAAAAACAGTTCAAATACAAACAGATATGAGTATTTAGAAAGAGGTATTTAAAATGCAAAAAAAAGAGTAGGTAGGTACTTATTTTACATTTTTATTCGTGTTCTAAAAGGAAGCACGCCAAACAAATCACATCTCTAATTACGACAGAAAAAGACTCAAATGTACGTGGTGACAGTTATGTACTAACTGAAGATCAGATATTCCATGATTTAACAAAAGTTCGTTTGTTTAAACTTCAAACGTAAAGTGAAATTGTTCAAAATTTGTATGAAATATAAAAATGGAAAAAGGAGCTACTAAAGTATACCGCCGTAAAGGTAATAACATCAATCCATACGTTTATTTCATTAATTGACTTAGTGGTGTAGGAATTTCTATGAAAAATAGTTTTGGACAATTTTTACTTGCTATTTACTGGACCGTCATGTTAGTATGTTTTTTTAAAGTGGCACTATTAATTTTATTAAAAACCTGAATAAAAATGAATTGGCAGAAAGATGTACAATATCCTATTTTTTTTTATTGTGGAAGTTTTATTGTACAGTGTACAGGTTAACGATTTAGTAAATTTTACTGTCACTAACAACATCCTTATGAGAAATTGTTTATAATATTTAACAGTTTGTCTGTCAAGAACAATACCAAATACAGGTCGAATCCCAAGTTGAAAATGTTGCTTGGAATATTTAGGGTTAATAAGTGGTCGAAAGTGTGCAAGAGCAAGTAATTTTTGTGTGTTTGCCTCTCACTTTACATGTATAGAAAACTCTTATTAATTATATTCCGCTTTTTTTTTTAATAGTCAATGCATTGGTCTAGACGGGAAATGAAGTCAGATCAATACGTAACAAAGTTAAATGTTTTAAATGAAAAGAAAAATAAAAATACCCTCATATTAAAATCTAACAAAAAGAATGTACTGTTCGTTTCAAGAAGTTAGAGATATGCCCCTTCCCTTTATTAGGATGCGCCGTACGCCGTAGCATAATTCCAAATTCAATCATATTTGTCTGCGGAGCTCATTTCTCCACCGATCATCGAACGAGAACTAGAGTGTACAGTACCATTTGCAAATTATTTAAACTGCCTCTTTAAAATTTAAGAATATGCTTTATTTAAAAGCATATTCAGCCAAAAATAATAACAAGTGAATTAACTTAACGTTCTACACGCCTATAAAACTTTTGCTTTGTTTTCTATTTTTAATTTATGTACATTTTTGTTTTAAGAAATTGCTAAACATTTTCGTCGAGTACTGTACAGTTCTAGCCGATCTCCTAAGACCGCTCATTGAGAGCTCTGCTCGTTCAAGCTTGTTCCAACTATTTCTGTCTTGCTCACGCCTAGTGTGTGTTCTTTCTATCTTCGCGCAGATTTCTTCATGGTCACAATTCTAATAAATTGAAATGGACTGTACATGCTTTATTGATGGTATCGCTTTGTATTTGAAAGGTAATCATCGTTCGGTTACTGAAACGAACTTGTCAGTTGGTTTTACAGAAAATTTGAGCCAGAAACCGAAATCTAGCGAAGGAATTCGGAAAGAGATTCAACGTCCAAGAAGTAGAAGCGTCTACACCGCTAACTCCTTCGCCAGCGATGAACCGTTGAGTTTGAGAGGTGAAATTAAACCGTACGAAGGATCATCTTGGATGCCCAGGATTGTTCCTTGTAAAAATTATTTTATTGACGAATATAACGTAAGTATTGTTCATTGAAAAGAATTAATTAAATTTTACTCTGAACGCGACTAACAGAAACATATTTTTACTTCCCTTTCATCTCCCATCGTTGTGTTTGAATTTATTGCTTATTACTCCTGTGAGAAAACAAACTCTTGGGGATTTAGAAATCCCCCTCAACGTAAGTTCACTGTTCTTTAGGAAATTTGGCATGATGACACCGCTATAGGGGGTTGTTCCATAAGTCCTCACGGAGTGATCACCCTACGCCTTCACGACCGCGTGAGAGTCGACATATCTCTTGATAGATCAATAAGGGTTGTCAATAACAAGAGTGGCATTGTTCTGGCCCTTAGTGCCTCTGGCAGTTCGGCAGCCCTTTTGCATCCAAACGGGAGGGTCTATCAATATGGGTCAAGGGTCGAAATTTTAGCCCATGACGCGGCCGGAAACGGAAAGTGAGTTTGGGCGTTTAAGAAAGAAATTAATAATGAACGAGGAAACCTTTCAGATATGCTAAAATGTGGTACAAAGGAGTGAGCTTTACAAGTGACCAATGCGCGTTGGTTTACCTTGTGGATTCGGCTGGCACCAGGACCACCACCGATACATTTTTGGATCTTAGTGGAGACTTTTCTCTGAATGTCTTTTATGGGTATGAAAAAAGTTTCTACAAATTATACTTTGAGTTAGCAATTTACATCTCGAGTTTTACCCAAAATTTTGTTAAAATTGATAGCACCTGGTGTATGAGTCACGGTTAGGTAGATACTCATTTAGTACAGGTATAGTTAACACTGTCTGAAAATTGCGACTGCGCAAATAGTAATTGCCTGATGGTCATAGAGGGGTAAAAGTAGGTGGAAGGATGGGGAAGACCTTGACAAGTGTTTTTAGGCGACGGTTAAGGGGCGGAGGTGAAAAATCGAAAATTAAAACCTAGTCTAACTTAACCACAAAAAGGCAAAAAGACTTTCACTTAATTTATAAAACGTTCTTAGCAATTTGTTTCAGCCTATGAGAAAGAGTTTGGAACAAGTTCTTAACAATAATTAATAAGTTAAGGCAAACCTTTTTAAGGTGCTTTTGCCACAAAATCAACATAGGTAAATAATCAACTTTCATAATATAGGCCAACTAAGTGAATCTTTTAGAATGTTTTTGACATTAGCAATTAATTCAGGGACTATTAGCTTTTTTACTAGACTAGATATTCGCATTCAAGGTCGACTTTCTGTGCTAAATATTAGAAAAATTATTGAATGTAGTCTTTAGTATACTATAGGATCAAAATCTCGATAAATTACTGATGAGGCTCTTAAGGAACGAGTTTATATAGTATCCAAGTATAGGCAGCGTATTGCCATCCAACTGTCATTTACTTCTACTGAATATCTCATGTGTTAGACAAAGCCTTACTAAGGAGTCAATTTGTGTAACTAAATTGACGATGCAGTTTACATAAGTTATAGGTACGCAAACCATATTAATAATAACGTTTATTTAGTTTTTGGTCAGAAATTTAGTAAGGACTTGAAATGCTTCAGTAGCAGCAAATACTAACTAGATAGCGATACTCTTTGTCTTTGTCTGTTCTTGGAAAGTAAGTTTAGTTTATGTTTGGAGAACTTTTATCGAGTTCTTGGTCAACAACTATCAAAACCCTAGAAGTAGTTCGGAATTTCAAACTCCTTTCTTTCATAAACATGCAGTGCAATGTTCCGACAGAATATTGACTAACGAAAGCTACGAGATTAATAAATAACTATAAACAGCAGACTGAACGCTATCTGTAGGGGTCCGCTCATAATATATACTGTTACTAGAACGGTTTATGAAAATTTATAACCTCTTTTTTATATTTCTCCCCCTGGTACTTGCAAACGAGACCATATTTTTCAAATTTGAAGAAACTTTGAAAAATGTACATTTCTATATTTTGAAGCATATATATATTCGTCAATTTTGAGTATACTGTAGTAATTTATGATGTCAAAACGGCTACGGAAGTCTATTATCGTGTACGCTCCCAACACAGATTAATGTAATTATTGCGCCATTAATAATTAGTCGGTTATTTTTTGTACACGTTAAGGGAAGGGCACCACTTTGATCCTGCCAATTATGGTCCTCACAATATCAACGAGGCAATTGCTGTGCTTCAGGAGTCCAATTATTGGAATACCGATGATGGAACTGATAATTGGATGATCAACGGCATCAGAATTTCTCAGACTGCCGACGGTCTTGTGCGGTAAACATATCTTTTGCTCTTCATTTGCTCTTTTAAGATTTTATCTTTCATTTTGCATGATAACACATCCAATTTCCTAAAATTCTAAACAATTAAACTGAATTTTGTTATTTTATAATTTGAATGGTTTAAAATGCCGCAATTCTCTTTTATTTGGCTTCATGGATAAAATTAGTAAATAGTGCTTAGTTGCCTAATTAACGCGAAGCTTTGAAATTGTGAAGAACGTTTAATTTTAGCGATTTACATAAAAGTTTGACCTTCAGTCAAGGGTTTCTTCATAATGAAATCAATCCATTATGAAGAAGTCTTTAATCGAAGACGAAACGTTTATATTTGTACATATGTACAAAATTTGTGAGGTTAGAAACTGGAATATTAGAAGACGATTACGATGCATGAACCTAACCTATATCAGTAAATTACTGGGACTGTAACTTGTCCTTTTCATTCCAGTATTGGTCGTAATAGCAATAAATTCTCACTGAGAACATCGCCTTCTAATGGATCCGCGTCCGTTAGCACCCCATTTCTACATTGTACCGGTTCCATGGGACAGACGAGACATTTGTTTGTACGTCGCGGCGAAAGGCGCATGCACTATGATGGCGCAAGCTTTATCGTTCGTAATGCCGGCCATTCGGCCGGTTTCGACGATAAACAACAATTAAAAGTATATTAGAAGGGGTTCGTGGGGTGCGCGTGCGTCAAATTGCTATTAACAATTACAAACGGGAGTCAGAAAAATTATGCTTTTCCGCAAAAGACTTATTCTTTTTGTAATGCAGGAGAAGGCGGAGTACTGTTCTTGAAAATAATGACTATCGTGGTTGGCTCTCGTGGGTTCTTGTTCAAGGCAGTTGCGCATGCGCACCTGCATTATCGTGAGGGTTCGCACTTTCTCCGTCTGATGGGGCGGGCATATGTTTTGAAGGAACGTTGAGGTTTGTTACTAATGATGAGTGAGCGTTAGGGTGGGAGTTTGTCGTTGGGTTTTTGGTCGCGAAGTTGACGTTTGTTGTTCAAGCCGGATAGCTTTTAGTTGCACTTGGGCGACGATTGAGTGTGTGCTACATCTTGGGTTTATCCATGGTCAGATGATCGCTCAGACGCGGATTGGGAAATAGTAGCGTGGAAAATTAAATGGCGTCGCAATGAAAAATCTTTATTTTCTCAACTTCAGTTAAGTGATGGTGCTTTTCGATCTTTCCATATCGAAATTCAAAGAATTATCTACAATCGCGTAATTTCTAGTACATATTTGATATTTTGTATGTCTATAGCTCGAAAAATTTTAAAAATTGATTTTTAATAATCAAATGCAATTATTAACGAAAATATATTTACAGTATTTTATTAAAGTATATATAACACATTATAAATATAGGCCAAGCACGTTACAGAGTGGTGGTGTATTTTCAAACTAAAACCATTTTATTTTATACAGATAACTACTGCTCGATTACAACAAATGAAAAGGTACTACTATCTACGAGGTTTTCTCTCACAGAAAATAGGTAGTTTTAGGCAATTTTAATTATAAAAGTACAAAATTAAATGCAAATACAAATTTGAAACTGGTGAATAAAAAAATATGATAATAAAAGCGTTTTAACCTAACATGATCCTCTTAGTAATTTTGTATTAGTTCTTTCCTGAAGAAATTTACAAATTATAAAATTGCATGACCTATAAAAATTAAGTTTACTTTCATTTAGGTATCGGAATTGCACTATTTGTTGCTAAGAAAAGTAATACTATTGTACAGAGACGATTTTGAACAATTTGAATATTTGTATTTTAACTTTTTATAAGAAAACAGTTGGATGTTTTGTTATTCGTAGGTTATGTGCATGCTAATGCATTCGATAGTTAAAGTAGGAAAACTAGTAGGAACGCAATAAACGTAGTTTTACTATGCATAAATAAAAATAATTTAGGCACCTTATTAAATTTTGCATAATATGCTAGTTATAAACGAGTTAAAAAGAATATCAGTTGACATATGCTAGTTTAACTTAACATTTAGGTTAGCGGGAAAGTAGGTGAAATTTATTTTAAATTTCGGGTAAAAGGAATGTAATTTATGTGCAAACGTATTTAGTTAGTAGGTCTACCTGTTTATTTTTTGGCAATTAAACTTTGATGAGAAAATAAAAGCATTTATAATGTGCGCTTCGGCCATTAAGGATTCCAGACCGCCATGTTGTTTGTTGTCAACGTTTCATCCTGTAGCAGTTGAGATATTGTTAGTAATTTTTGAAACAAATGTTACTTTTTAAGAGCCTTGAAGCTAATGTGAATCATTAAGGACGAAACGCTGTTAACAGTCAATACGACAAACACGATGTAAATCAAATCAGAAACAATAATTCATTATAAAGTGTATAAAACTTGTTTACGTTATTATCGACAGAAGAATGTTTATCTAAGCTTTTCCTATAGCACGTAATCAATTATTTGATAAACTACATAGGATAATATTTCTAATTATTTAAAACTGATTCTAGGAATTAATTCATTCAAATAGGTAGTTTATAAATTTTGATGTAGAATTCTTCATTCTTTGGACAACACATTAATAACATGAAAAGTGTATTCGGCATTTAAAAACGTAAATATTACAATAAAATAAAAATGTAAATATGAACTATTCTTTGACTGTATTCTAACAAAAGGGAGAGATAAGGATTAAAAAAATATCTTTTTGGTACCTAATATTGACTACTTTATAGCCACTAGTGGTTTATTTGTTGTAGTTTTATTCAAACAATGTCTTTCATAGCCTACTTCATCTGAAACTTTCGTTATTAGTGTAACAGAAAGGAGTAGATGTATAATTTCAAAAAAATTTTAGTACGTACCTACCTATTTCACAAACAATAAAAAAGTAATTTTAAATGAAAATTTTTATTAGTCAGCAGTAGCAAGAGCAACACACAGTTAGGTTCTTTCTAACAAATGTTGCAAAGAATATTTGAAAAATCGTGTAAATAAAAAACAAGAACGTTTAGAAACAACTTACTGGTTGTTTACTAACCTAACTTATTGTTTGTTGGATTTTTAATTAAGTTACTTTTGCTGAACGTGTAGGTAATACTATACTATATATTACAAACATTGCGTTTAAACACTCTGTAACGTGCAATAATCAGAAAAGGAAACCCTAAAAATTACTTTTCAGTTGTTAAGTAACGTAATTCTTGACCTAGTTCCAAATTTATTTACTGTTGGTAAACGTCTAATTGAAGCGACGCCATCTTGATGTTCTGACAGTGCATTCTGAGCGCTCTTTACTTTAATGTCGCAAGCGATGCTGACTTGTGTGCTCAAGCAAAACTTTGTTGGAAAAACAAGAGTCCAAAATAATAAATATATCCTGGCTACTAAATTTTTGTTATTAATATACATGTTATATATGACGTTAGCTAAATCGTTAGTGCATGCGCTGATCAAAGCGCACAAAACTGTTTGTTCGGTATTTAATGTCAATGTTGTCTTGAGTGTAATTGATTTACAAAACTGCCTTGTACGTTTAATAAATGTTTTAACAAAATACTATCTGTTTCTGTTATGTCTAACTCTTTTAGTTTAAATATTATTTATGCTTACTGTACATACTGTAACTCAGTGAATGTGTTACACAAGTGAGCACAGTAGATGCAGTGTTAAGATAGCTACACACTAACCGAAACAAAACGTTGCACGTGTTGATGTTACTGTTCTTCGTGGGGAAGCGCACACTTAGCTATTTGTACGGAGCGGGGTTTTCACAGATTTTCCCTTATTAAAAGTATTATTTTATTATATCTCAGAAAATATGACGTCTTTCGATTCCTTCACCATTGTTGTCTTCTAATCCTTTCTCTCTTATCTCGCTATTAATTCCCTCGATCCAGTTTTTCCTGGGCGTTCTTCTTATTATTTTGCCAGTAGGTGTCCATAGTAGAACTTGCGTTAATATCTTCTCGATTCACATTCTCTGCATCCTCCCGATCCAGCTTTTCCTGAACCTTTCTCTTTTTTTTCTGCCAGTGGGTGACCACAGTAAAGCTAACTATGATATCTTCTCGATCTCCATTCTCTGTATCCTCCCGATTCAGCTTTTCCTGGACCTTCCTCTTCCTTTTCTGCCAGTGGGTGACCACAGTAAAGCTTGCTTTCATATCTACTCGATCTCCATTCTTTGTATCCTCTCGATCCAGTTTTTGCTGGGTCTTGCTTTTCTTATTTTGCCAGTTGGTGTCCACAGTAGAACATGCTTTAATGTCTTCTCGATCCGCATTCTCTGTATCCTCCCGACCAAACTTTTCCTGGACCTTCCTCTTGTTTTTATGCCATTGGGTGACTATAGTGTAGCTAGCTTTGATATCCTCTCGATCTGCATTCTCTGTATCTTCTCGATCCAGTTTTTATAAATCTTGCTCTTCTTATTTTGTCAGTCGGTGTCCATATTAGATCCAGCTTTTCCTGGACCTTCCTATTCTTTTTCTGCCAGTGGGTGACCAAAGTAAAGCTTGCTTTGATATCTTCTCGATCTCCATTCTCTGTATCCTCTCGATCCAGTTTTTCCTGGGTCTGCCTCTTTTTCTTCTGCCGATCGGCGTTCATAGTGAACGTTGTTTCGGTAACTTCTTGATTCTCATTCTTTGTACGTGACCATGTCATCTAAGTTGTTTTCTTTTTATGCTTTTGATTATGTCATGAGGGACATCCATGATTTCTCTAATTCGTTCATTTGGGATCTTTTCTAGTCTAGGCCGTTGAGATATCGCCTAAAAAAGCGTGAACTCGAATATGATCTTTGTTAGTTCCCTTGTACTGCCACGAAGCTGATTTTTTGCTCATGAGAGAATATGTGTAGACCTAGCGTTATCGTCCGTTGGACACAGAGATCCTACGCGAGCACGAATATATCAGTATTGGATTCCATATTTCACGTAATTTACTTATTCTGATATTAGCTGAATGTTCGATAGCGATATTACATCGGATATTGCGAAAACAGTAGCATTCAAGTTTTAAGTGACCTCTATTCCAAGGCAAAAGGTAAAGTGGGTCTGTATTCTGTCTAAACTACGACGTGCTAATAAGATCCAATGAGATCGGAATCGCAATCCGCGTCAGACGGTTTTAAAAGAATACTGACCACCATGAACTTTTTGTTCCGTTTGATTACGTGCCTACCACGTAGGATGAGCTACGTCGTGGATTCAGTTCCACAAGTCGATATCCGTATGGAACTTGTTGAGCATTTTTGAATTTCACTAAAAGTAGCAGTGTACGTCAGAAAGCGTTTGTAGGAATTCATGAATTCTACGTGTCTAAGTTTTTGGATATGTTCATCTTGATCTTGTACTTAATCTCAAATGAAATTCTGGCTCTTGACATTATCATGGTTTTCAAGACAAGTTAAGAGCGATTTATTTTTCACTCTTGCAGCAGCCTTAGAATTGCATCATCTACGTTTATTTCTTTCTTTCCTACATTTCGGATTTATTGTAATATGATGGTTCACCAACTTCATCGCCAAAACTTCATCTCTGTAGTCTTCCGCCATTGTCTATTCCTTATTCTTCTAGCCATTTTTCAGTTTCTCTTCTTATAAGTGCAGATGCTTTCAGCTTTTTCGTATTATTCATGTTATTGTACATGACTGAATGTAGATATTTTCTTGGGACTTTTATCAGTTACAAAGTCATTCATGATTTGTTTCTTGTTCTTTAGGTTGACGATAAGCGCAGTGTTTTACAAATTAATGTCTTTATCAAACATTTGGTCATTTATAATTTTATCATTCCATTGTTTAAATACAATACATGTTTTTAACTGAAATATACTCACACATCGCATCGGTGGAACATTGTAAAAACATGGATTTTAATTTATTAATTTTCTGACGGTTCTCCTTAAATTTTGCTAACCGCTCCATGATAATTTTTTTTAAGTTGCTTCCATTTTCTGAATAAAAAACTCAGTATTTTTCACTGTTATGCGTACATATTGAATGATTGTTCGTTTTCTTGTTACAAAATTTTTTTCATCAATCTTTAAGAGCTATTCACCTAATTCGTATATTACGGAATAATTTATTCTTTTACCTGCATTGACCACTACTTCCACTCCTGAGCTAATCTTCGCATTTCACCAAAACTACTAGAACCTCATCCTAACTATTTGCGAACAGTAATCTAATATAGGTCTACCGCTACCACTCCTAACTTCTGTTTCTGCCTCTAATATGTCCCTGATTAGACCTTCATGCCTGAGAAGGAGTCCTACCAACTTATCTCGCCTATTTTTTATTGACTTCCATAAAGTCCTCCATTCTCCTATTCATTCTAATACCTCTTCATTTCTAACCTTCTCTGTCCATGGTATCCTCATCATTCGTCTGTAACACCACATTTCGAACGCTTCTAACCTTTTTTTTCTGCCGCGGCCATCATTCATGCTTCGCAGCCGTACAGCGCCGCGCTCCAAATATATACCTTTAACAATCTTTTTTGAATTTCTAAATTAATCGATCGTGAGCGTAGAAGTGACTTCTTTTTATTGAATGCGAGTCGACCCAGCGATATCCTTTGCTTTGTATCCCTACTACTCCTTCCGTCCTGACTTATCTGACTTCCTAGATACCTAAAATTAGTCTTCTAATTTTTCGTCTCCTATGTTTGTATTCGCTCTTAAGCAGTGTTTTATTTATGTAATTAAATGCATATGCAAATGTACTAGACGGGTGAGTGCCACACGTCACCACTATAGTGGTGATAAGTATACTTATCAGGTTTCATAATTTCCAACTAAGAAAAATTTTTTCAATATCTAAAAGAACTTCAACACGAAAACGCAAACCTTTAAAAAGTAATAGCAGATAAAACTGAGACTTTTTCGTAAACTAGAAACATCAAAATTAAAGAAATGTTCAACTTGATCCCTACAAACTGTGACATCAAAATGCCAACTTTTAAACAAAAAACACTAGTTTACATTACTTCATTTGTTCTATAACTACGATGCTACAAACAGGGTAAGACTTTTAAATTGTGGGTGAAAGGTGATATCATTACAACTTTTGAGTGTAGTTGAGAAAGTCTAAGTACACCTTGAAACTACAATTAGTAACGCTTATACACATTTTCTCTTATCTAAATTACCCAAAAATTTATTAACAAAAATTATTACCTACCTATTTTAATACCAGGACCGTACTGATTTAATGTTAGGCTTCGGTGGCTATAAAAGAAATTTGACCCCCAAAAATAAAAAAAAGACTTACAGTAGCGAAAAGCATTATATAAGTACTTAAAACCCCACAACCCTACAACCCAAGCGTTTTGAACCCCTTAACCCCCGCATATTCCATATAAAACCATAACCTCATAATCCAAACGTTTTTAAACCTATAACCCCATAACCTTAGCGTTTTAAATCCCGTAACCATATTATGCTTCCATAAAAAAATTAAAGATTAATAAATTATTAAACGACAAAATAGAAAGAGGAGACTGTGGTAAATATTAATTAAAAA